TCGACGAAGAGTGGGAAGTTGAGGTTTCAGAAAACACCGATGACCTAGACTACAGGGTGTCAAGGATTACTGATGCCATCCGTGATGCTGCCGAGAACTCCCTCCAGCACCGGAAGACGAGGGCTCGACCTGTCCCGTGGTGGACGCCGGCCTTAACAGCTATGAAGAGAGACCTCTACAAGGCACGGCGGTCGTACCAGAGGTGCACATGCGACGAGAGGCGCACTGCACTTCGTAACGAGTATAAGTCCATGGCCAGGGTATACCGAAATGAGGTTCGTTCACGAAAGCGGAAGTCTTGGGACGATTTTATCGTCGAAGAATCTTCAAAGAATCCTTGGGGTATTCCGTATAAGGTGGCTCTGGGCAAGTTGACTCCGCTGCAAACGATAGCGGCGATGAGGCATGAAGATGTCCATGCTACTACCTTAGAAGAGACCGCTAATTTCTTCGTCAAAGCGACTTACCCCAAGGACGACCCATCTCAAGACACCCAAGAGGAACATTTTGTGAGACATACCACGGTATACCCGCCAGGCACTGACTTTTGCTCACCATGGGACGCAGATGATATTCGTATTGCCGTGGGTAGGCAAAAGAATGGCCGCGCTCCAGGACTTGATGATATAGATGCAGCGATCCTAAAGAACAGTATCTCCTATATTGAAGAGCGACTTTTAGGAATCTTTAATGATTGTTTAGATAGGGGATACTTCCCAAGGAAATGGAAGATCGCTGATTTGAGACTCCTCTACAATGGAGGAGGCAGGGATAAACAACTTCCTAAGTCATATAGACCAATTTGTCTCCTCCCTGTGATGAGTAAGGTCCTGGAGAACCTCATGATGACCAGGTTACGGCCAGTTCTCAATCAAGCAAGCCATCCACGGCAATACGGCTCTACCAGAGGCAGAGGAACCGCTGATGCTCTGCTGAGAGTTCGCAGAGATGTTGAAGAAAGGGAGGAGCGATACGTCATGCTGCTCCTTTTTGATATATCCTCCGCCTTTGATAGTTTATGGTGGCCCTGCGTACTCCAGCAGCTGCAAAAATATGACGCTCCCAGCAACCTATATGCCCTCGTAAGGAGCTATCTTCAGGACAGGCGAGTGAAGATCAAAGGCAGCTATTACGAGGTAGAAGCTTCCGTAGAGAGGGGATGCCCTCAGGGATCAGTACTTGGTCCTGCTCTATGGAAGCTGGTTTTTGATGAGTTGCTGGGAGTGCTTGAAAATGAGCGGTTCTCTGCCACTGCCTATGTTGACGATCTAGCTGCTGTGGTGGCATCCAACAGCAGGGCGGGGATCAAACTAGCAGCAGAGCGATGTGCCAACCTTGTAGCCAGATGGTGTGAGGGAAAGAAAATGCGTATGGCTGCTGAAAAGACGCAAGCCATCCTCTTGAAAGGCACGACTGATAGAGCACACCCCATTAGCATGGATATAGAAGGTCAAATAATACGCCCAAGTGAGGTGGTAACATATCTTGGTGTAAGGTTAGGAAAAGGCCTAAATATAACACCTCACTTGGATTATCTAGCAACTAAGGTGACCCAAGCCTTGAACGGACTCAGTCGTGTTGGGGGTGCATTCTGGGGCCTCAGATACCCCGCAACGATGACGATCTATAAAGGTGTTGTGCTGGGTATCTTGAGGTATGCATCTCCCTCCTGGTATAGGAACCTCACACAGCGACAGCGAAAAAGGTTGGCGTCGATCCAGAGGATGGCCCTGTTGCGTGTCACCAGAGCATTTAGGACAACGTCACATGAAGCAGTGCAGGTCCTAGCGGGGGCGGTACCTCTCGACCTCCTCCTGCGAGAAGATGTGACCAAGCATAAATACAAGAAAGAAGGCTTGGCTGGAGTTCCAGAAAATCTGCGGGTGAGGATTGTGGAAAGTCCCAACAAATGGAAGAAGATAATCCGGGAGGATACGATTGAGGAATGGAGCCGTCGGTGGGTTGCTACCCCGAAAGGGAGTACTCTCAGAAAATACTTCCCCACCGTACAGTCGCGGTTAGATGCACAATGGATCCTCCCGGACTATTGGATTTCACAGTTTCTCACGGGGCATGGGGGTTTTCGAGCTAAGCTACATGGCTTTGGCCAGGACATAGATCCCCAATGCCCCACTTGTGGAGTTCTGGAGACTGTCGAGCACGTGGTCACGGCCTGCACTGCATTTGAAGGAATAAGGGCAACGATGATGAGAACCGCAGGAATTTACGTCCTAACAGAGGATGAACTTCCTCAGTTGGTAAGTAAGGAGAACTTCCCTCGGTTCAAGAAATTTATTTATGACTGGAAGGAGGCAGTGGGTCCAGCCCACTTCAACATCGGAGCACGGAGAAGAGGACCACCACCAAGAAGACCGCCGGAAGACGGACACCCTTGATAAGACGTCACCGAAGATATATTTTAAACTGTTTCACTTGCAGTAGTATGCTGTTATGCAGTCATGCATAACAGCCCACTATTGCAAACGCCCGTATGGCCCATCAGGCAAGGTAGGGTGGAATGTAAATAAATAAAATAAATAAATAAATAATAAATAAAATAGCTTTATTAGAGAAGAGACTTAGTCCTGAAGATTAAAAAAGGAATATATAACTCGCTCAGGAATTTGATTAAATTCAACATAAAACTGTCAACAGATAGGAAAAAACAACAACACTCTTCTCAAGAGCTTTTGACAGTTAAAGAAGAAATATTAAATTGTTACAGCCAAAATCGAACCTTTTTCTTTTTTTTTTTTTTCATATGATATTTACAACTGTATAAAAAATAATACATCTAGTAAATTCGCACATGAAGATAATGACATGAAACACATGTTGAGAAACTACCCATTGGCAGCACTCTAATAATATGTCTATATTAGGAGATCACGTGGCCATCTTCTTTTCAGACGCCTCGGAAGGTTATCAAGAATTGAATAGGAAGCAAGGTTAGAAACGAGAGGGTTGGGATGGTTATGAAGTTTATTATGGAAGGACAGATATCTGGATTGGGCCAGATCTGATACATAAGGAACATTAAGGTCATTATGGATGATTTTATTTGTAACCAAGTAAGGAGCATTCAGTATTTTACGAAGGATTTTGGATTGTAAGGATTGGATACGAGAGGAATTCGATGGTTTAGTGGAGCCCCATAGCTCAACTCCGTAAGTCCAAATAGGCCTTATTATAGTCATGTATATGAGTCTTTTGTAATTAACTGGAAGCTTAGAGCGTTTGTCTAGTAAGTGCTGAAGTAATCGGAAACGTCGAGCTGTTTCTTGTCGTTTCATTCTGGTATGAGGATTCCAAGTTAAACGTTTATCCAGGTGGAGTCCTAGGGAAGAATCGAACCTGATTTTTTTTTGTTTGTAATATTGTCACCCAAATATGGTGAATAGGTTTGGGTTGAAGGCCATCCCCATGATGGTAAAATATAACCTGTCTTATGTAAAAAATCTCCTCTAAAAGTATTATTGTGGGTATATGGTTGACTGTAGTGAATAATTGAAGGGGAGGATGGTTGGGGTGGATCAGTCAAATTAAAATGGCAAAAAATGAATAATTTTATTTATTTTTACATTCGCCGACGTTTCGGCTCGAAGTTGAGACCTTCATAAGGACTGGGAAAAAGAACCAGATAACAATAGGTATAATAACATTGAATAATACAGAATTAAGATTAAAAAATGTGAGAAATATAGATTAATTATTTTAAGTAAACTGAAGTAGATAAAATTAAAATTAAAGTAAAACAAAGAAGGTAGAATGATAACAGTAACAGAGAACTAAGAAATAAATAATAATAATAATGGTAACAAAGCACGGAGCAATTATATAAGCATAATAAAATATAAGGCAACATAAGAAATGAATAAAGTGTAGAATAAAATAATAAAACAGAGAAATGAAATATGAAATTATATAAGGAAATAATAGATATAAATAAAACATTAAGATATTGTAAAATCTATAAAAAAATGTAACATTAGTAATAAGATTAATGTAAACACCATTTCATATATGTAGTTAGAATTTTCTTCTTCTTCCAAAGTAATAATCGTTTTATATATATAAAAGCTTTTGGGCTGATGCCCTCCCCAAAATTAAATCCTGGATCTGCTAGTGCCAGTAATAGACAGTTTTCCACTCATTAGCAATTAAAAAACTGTATACATCTTATAGATGAGTAGATTTGTAGCTAGAAGATTTTGGAGGTTGATGCCTGAACCGTAAGTAATATCATGCCACCATTGGCGATTGGTAATTGTTTTTTAATGGAGCAAGGCTGTGTATCTTTTTCAGGGAGTTTTCTTATCATCTTTGTGTAGGGGATACAAAGTTTGTAACTTTGATTGGTTCATCTATAGTTTACCATTTCTTTGTTTAAAACAGTGCAGAATTTATTTTTAGGTTTTTTAATTATATAAAAATCCTGGTGACCCTAAAATTTGGGTATCTATTTGCTGACAATTAAATACATTTTCAAAGATCCACCATCAGAACTAAAAAGGTGTGGTTTTCATTAATGTTAAAAATTTCTCTTTAAGTGCCTACAATCGTTACATTTACCTTAAAATAAAAAAAATAAATGTAAGGACTCATTAGCATTTGGGATAATATGGAACCAAGGTTGACTAACCTGGCCTTCAAGATTTTGTTTTTTAACTAATAAATTTACATTAAAGTATACCTAGTCATAAATATTGTTACAAAGAAATATATACAGATTTCAATAGGAAAAATATATATATTTTTTAATTTGATTAGAAAATAAAGTGTATATCTAAAGAGAGTAAAACAAAAAAAAAATTACTCAAAATGTCTCCCTTTTGCCTTAACACAAGCATTTAATCTCCGTGGCCAGTCATCAATAGCAGCACGCAGCACTTCTTGAGGAAAAGCCTCAATTCCTCGGACCAGAGATTGTTTGAGGCTTTCCAAGTTAGGGGGTGCTCTGTGGCATGCCATCCTCTCCAGTTCGGACCAAAGCCGATAATCTATTGGGTTGAGATCAGAGCTTCCTGAGGGCCAATCCGAAGCAGAGATGAACTCTGGAATGTTCTTTTGCAGCCACTGCTAAGTTGACTTGGTCTTGTGAGCTGGAGCGGAATCCTGCTAGAAAACCCAATGACTTTCCTGCAAACAGAATATAATTTAGAGGCTTCTCAACAGGTTCCAAAATATCGCCTTGATAGTTTTTAGCGACTGTTTTAACTCCTTTTTCACAAAAATGGAACTTTGTGGTGCAATGAAAGCAAATTCGCCACCAAACCATCACTGAGGAAGGGTGATGACCTCTTTCAACTCTTCCAATGACTTCCTGGGCTTCTTTAGAGCTGTGTGCATACACACGATCGTTTTGAATATTAAATTTTTTTTTAATCGTAAAATTGTTCTCATTGCTAAACAAAATCTTTCGATGAAGACCATTGGTGTTGTTTTTAGGAAAGTAGTTAGCCTTTGTCTTGCCATTTTTCGAAATGCAGCCATCCTAAGATCACTTTTTATTATGCGAGACATTGATCTGACAGAGATTCTCATTTTCCGAGACATGATTTGTTGTTGTGAATGGGATTTATTTTGATTGGAGCAGCTACTGCTCTCACTGCATTTGCCGTTCTCGTAGTGTGGGGACGGCCCGGTCGGGGTCTGTTCCATACAGATAGGGTCTCATTATATCTATTTATCGTACGGTACACGAACATACGGCTTATATCCAAAAATTTCGAAGTGTTGAAAATCTCTGATCTACATTTCTCAACTGTGTGTAAGGCGATCACAGCTATTCGGTTCTCTTTATCACCCCACTCCATGTTAACTGAGAGAAATAAAATACTCTGATAGAAGTAAAGATTATCTAAATAATACCCAAGGATGTAAACTAAGCTAAGTTTTGTAATAGTTTTTATGGCAGAACTAGGTAGCATTACATATTTTATATAATAATTATGTTATGACTTTACATAATATGTTTATTAAGTATTTTATTTAAAACTTCGGTTTGGTTTTAATGGTAAATTTAACATTATTTGATTTCTTTCAACGGCCCTGTTGACAGATCACAGCTAAATCTCGAAAATGGATATTTCTGATGGAAAGTATTCAAGAAAATCATCGATCAAATACATCTAACATTTGTTGATTTTTTTTATTTTTTAATCTCAAGTTTGACCGAAGTATAATTTATTAATATGTCAAGCGATAAGTATCTTTATGAAATAATTAATATGTTTATAAAGAAAGGAAATAATCTATATGTAATAAGTATTTTTAGTGGTTCGAACACGCATATCTCTGGTGCTGAGTGATTTAATTTATTTTTATATAATATTGCTTTAAAACACGGATCGAGCTCCTGATCTGATTGGCTGCCAAGTGCCGTCATGATCCGCCCATTGTTATCAATTCCTCTGGATCTATTCCACGCTCAGGTTCAAGGCGTTAGCTGCCAACCAGGGATAGAAAAATCTAGGTAGTTTTTTAAGATATTATTTTCAAAAAGAAGTTAGCAACATTGATTAATATTAAACGGAAAAGAAAAGAGCACTCTCCCCAAACAATTGAGAAAAAAAACCTTCTTAAACATTATAGCATTCGTGAATAAATTATTATTAATGTATGTGGATAATCGATTTATTATAATTTCTCCTATCGATAAGGCAATATGTCTTCCATATTTTGTGACAGCCTGATAGTTTTTAACCTCTCCCCCCTCCTCCATCCCCCCCAAAAAAGCTTTGAATACATCCCGCGTTTATAAACAATCATGATTGTGTTGCGTACATGCATGTATCTTATTTGTTTTGTTTTTTAAATGTATTACTACAGTTTTTGTTAATACCCAATAATTATCTATATATTGATATAAAGGAGAGTTTTCAGATATATATTCCTATTTTCATTATTATTTTCTTATAAATTGTTTTATACAATAAAAAATTAGTAGATTACGTGATCTTGTATATATATTGAATCGTAAGATAACTTGAGCACAATGTCGAGAAAAAAGGTGGCCATCAAAAATATTGACCCGTTTGGCCTACTCCTCCAAATTGTCAAAATTATGAGGTTATATAGGCCAAACACCCCAATATTCTTATAGGCCACCTATTTTATCGATTTTGTGATCAAATTATCTTGCGATCCAAGTGGAAAGCAAATGGGTATTTACGAGTTTTTAGTATCTAATTAAGTAGACATATTTTACGTTTGTTAATTTTATATTTTCTGTATATATGGTTTGAATGTGGTCATATATCACTGTAATTATTGTTCACGTGACAGATTGTTATATTTCTAAATAAATGAATTTAAACAAAAATTAAGTAGACAATGTTTGTCGACTTCTAGATTGAAAACGCCCCAGTTCCGAGAATTTTCGGAAATAAAATATTTGTAGGTTACGATGAGATGAAGCTTCAGCCGGATGATAATAATTTTGATAAAAAAGGGTCTGTACTACGGACTATATTGGAATATCTGTGGGTTTTATAATTTTTTTTTCGAAATTTACTTGATACTTGACCCGGCTTTGTCCTTTGATATTGCCGTACCAGAACTAGCATGAGTCGAGGAACTGTTATATTATCCAATCATATCTTACAAGTACCAGTAGATTGAGAAATTGTTAGCCTATTTCTTCCTTATCTTTTCTGAAAATCCAACATCTGTTTTATCCGAGAAAAAAAAATCCCAAATCGACAGAACACTATCTCCGAAGATCGCCTCACAGCTCGGAGAACAGCAACAGACTGCGTGATGTCTGTGATTGTATGACCGCATGTCACTTCCTATCACACAATGACCCTAGACCCGTGTCCACATCTCCAGATAAATTCAAATGTTTATTTATGTTGATGTTTGCATTGTCATCAGTGCCTACGTAATTCATTACAGCTTCAATGACTTTTTTTTTAACCTTAGTTTTATATGATAGATGGTATAGATAGCAAAGTCGAAAAAACTAAAAATATTCTAAGGAAGGCAAAAGCTATTAATCCCTTTTTATCGAATTATTAACATCCTGCTGAAACTTCGTAAATAGTTTCATCTCATCGTAACCTACAACTAGTTTATTTACGAAAACTCTTGGAATTGGGACGTTTTCAATCTGGAGGGGGACAAACTTTGTCTATTTAATTAGTTATTAAAAACCCGTAAATACTTATTATGCTTTCTATTTGGACCGTAAGATAATTTGATCACAAAGTTGAGAAAAAAGGTGGCCTACAGAAATATTGGACCGTTTGTCCTATATGACCTCGTTATTTTGAAAATAAGGCCAATGTAAGATTACGGATTCCTATCTTACCCAACAGTCTTGTTGCCAGAAATGGGTGAATGAGAGAGAAAAAAGATAACTGAGTGAAAATAAGAAAATCTGTTGCCCGCATCATACAAGCTTCATTATTTCCTCTACTTTTAACAGAAATTATTGTTTGACAAGATTAGGCTATGGCAAAAATTTTCTGATCAGAAATATTAGAGGGTATTGAAATGTACACTGATCTACCTTAAGCCGTTTTACATTGCTTTAGTTTATCTAATAAATCGTACTGAAATCTTTTCTTTGATCAATTTTCAGGAAAATAAATCTAATTAAATTTTTTTGGTTTCTTCATAAACATATGTAAAGATATAAAAACTTTTCTGAAACAGGTAGGAAAGTCGTGTGAGTGGACACACCAGATATTTGTGATGTGTATTGAGCCAAGAAGTTTTCTATTGTTGTTTTTTTGTTCTTTTTCTAATATTTCTGAATGGTTCAAATTGAAGTTGTGTTATATCTAATGCTGTAGTATCATGTACGAAAATGAATGAAATGAAAAAATAATTTTATTCTGAGACTAAAGTAAGAAGAATAATACATGCTACAAAACATTGGTCCATTTGTCTGGTTTGACAAAATTTAAAGAGGTCATTTGAATGTTAATTTCAATTAACTAACCCAATCATAATTGAACAACAATAGTAAACACGTTAGCACTGGTATATTTTATATTGTTTACATGTATACAAAAAAAAATGTAAATAAATATATGTGGTGGCTTAATTTGTTTTTGAGTTTTTTCGAGGTTTCTCCCATGTAAATTTGTTGACAGTTAATTTTTTTAATTAAGTTGTTGATTTTGTTTGTAAATTACATTGTTGTAGTCTATTGTTTCTATATTGTCTTTAGTGTTAGTTATGTATTTACTTAATTTGTTGCTACTGCATTGCATTGCAGTCCAAGTTGAATTTCCGTAAGATCACAGTTTCTGAATACTATTTTAATTATAAGTTCTGATATGTATGTCTCTTTGTGAAACATGCTTTTATTTATTTGTAAGTTAGTTTAAAAAATATATTTGTTATCAATCATGATCATGCACTTTCAGTACAATCGTTTAAATAAATGATACTCAAAGCAGTATTGGACCATTCAATTTAAAATTTAGATTATTTTTTTCTCTTCTCCTATTGTTATAACCAGGTCAGGTATTTGAGACCTTTATTCATTGATTTTAACAATACAACGATAATATCATCCCAAGTATCGGTCATTGAGCTCAAACAAAAATTAACTAACTTGTTATTATTTATTTTCACTTACCTACCTATATATGAAATATATAGTAAGAGAAAGTATTGCGATCGTGAAAATTTTAGAATCTCAGTTTTCAATGGAAATACACGTTTTGAAGTCCTCTGAGTCCAAATAACCAAGTTTCTCAAATTGGTGTTTGTGTGTGTTAACAGTCTGACACAGAAACGAAAAATCGTACTCAAGTGAAATTGTACATTTAAGGTTATTATATGCTAGGGATGTTACATCAACTTTTTCGTCAAAATCGGCTCACCGGCAATGATACTTTATATAATGGACTAAACACATTTTTACCATTTTCTTGAAAACGGCTCTACCGATTTTGATTAAATAAAGTATAAAATTGAGCACTTTTAAATAAAATGAATTTTTTTTCTGATTGTTGTTTTCTAACAGGGCTTAAATTTTCAATATTAGCTTCATCTAAAGTATCTTTAATTTTTTTTATTTGAAACAATTGACCTATTCGTATTAATCTCTAAAATAAAAAATAGTTAAATATAAAATATGAAAGAATTTGATAATTAACTAAAGGAGAAATAAGAGATCGTAACGGAGAATGGTTGTAATGGAGGAATCAAAGGAATACGAGCTTACCCGAGCTCGTCCGAAAGATAAGAACATGCTTCCATACGTAACATGAGTTCAATATAACAAGGACTCCAAAAATATTATATAAATATGAATATGTGGTTTTCATAAATGCTATTGTTAAATAAAAAAATAAATAAAAATACCCACAATGAAATATAAATCAATA